GTTATAGTGTAAAAACAGCTCTAGACAATATGTAAACAAATGAGCGTGGCTGTGCTCAATAAAACTGTGTTTACAAAAATAACTGGCAGGTCAAATTTGATCCACTGGCAGGGCTATAATTGACTAAACTCTGCTCTGATCTAACCTCCCATTTTACAGATTTGGCAACTGAGAACATTGAGGCTTCTTGTCCTGCTGTTACTGAACCTGCATCACACCTGCACTGTGGCAATGGTCTTTTGGTACTGACTGTGCTCCTTTGCAGGGCTCTACCAGGCTGCGAGGCCCCAGGATGAGGGTGGCTGAGGGGTTGGTGCCTTGGCCTTGATGGTTGTGAAACAATTAAAATATCACCCTTACTTGTTTATGTTCAAGGCTTCCTACAAGACAGATCTTCTTGACCTTGGAGACCTGGAATCATCCATCTTGTAACCCCAGTGACTTCCCGGCTCAGCCTCTGGTGCATAGCAAGGGCACAGTCAAAATGAATGAATGAGGCCCAGCGAGCAGGAGTGACTTGACCAAGGTGCCACCGTCTGCTTAGCAGCAGCACAGGGACCAGAATCCAGGACATGGCATTGCAAGGTAATCTTTGCTCAAGCAAAGTAATCTGCTATTGGTTAGATATAAAGCTGGGTAAGCGGTTGAATAATTGCAAAAATAATAGTTAATTCATCAACAAATACCTACCCAAAGCACCTGCAAGTTGGGAGGCCCTAAGCCAAATGCTGCAGGCGGGGAAGAGCTAGCCTGCAAGGAGGCTGCAGTACCAGAGGAGACACATGCAAATAGCTCTAAGCCTAGTGCTCATTTCTAGCTATAGAATAGATTCTGGAAGAATATGGTTCACTTTTACTTTCTACTTATCTCTGCCTTGTGCTCCACTATATGTACACAGTAAGTCCTCGCTTCACATTGTCAATAGGCTGTTGGAAACTGCAACTTTAAGGAAAACTATGTGCAGTAGATCTTCAAATAACATCGTTTCTTCTTTTTATTGTAATGTTGACGAGGAAAAAATTGGTTTTGTTATATGTTGTTTCACCTGAAGTTTTCATTTTCAAGAATCTATTGATGATGTTAAATGAGTATTTACTGTAATTACACACACACACTGCACCCACCACACACACACACTGCACACACACACCACACACACACCACACACACTGAACCCACACACCAAACACACACCACACACTACACACATCACACACACACCACACACCAAACACACACCACACATACACTGCACCCACCACACACACTGCACACACACACATACCACACACACTGAACCCACACACCACACACCACACACACCACACACTATATACATCACACACACACCACACACTACATACATCACACACACACCACACACACCACACACCAAATACACACCGCACCCACACACCACATATACACCGCACACGCACACCACACACACTACACACACACTGCACACACACCACATGCACACACCACACACACTACACACACCATGCACACACACACCACACACTACATACACTGAACCCACACACCAAACACACACCAGACACACCACACACTACACACATCACACACACCACACACATCACACACCACACATACACTGCACCCACCACACACACACTGCACACACACACACCACACACACTGAACACACACATCACACACACTGAACCCACACACCACACACCACACACACAACACACACTACACACATCACACACACACACCACACACATCACACACCACACATACACTGCACCCACCACACACACACTGCACACACACACCACACACACTGAACACACACATCACACACACTGAACCCACACACCACACACCGCACACACAACACACACTACACACATCACACACACACACCACACACACACCACACATACACCGCACACACACACCACACACACTACACACACACACCACATACACACACCACACACACTACACACACCATGCACACACACACCACACACCACACACACTGAACCCACACACCACACACCACACACTACACACATCACACACACACACCACACACACCACACATACACTGCACCCACCACACACACACTGCACACACACACACACCACACACACTGCACACACACACCACACACACTGAACCCACACACCAAACACACACCACACACCACACACTACACACATCACACACACACACCACACACACCACACACCAAATACCGCACACACGCACCACACATACACCGCACACACACACCACACACACTACACACACACTGCACACATACACCACATGCACACACCACACACACTACACACACCATGCACACACCACACACACACTGTACACCGCACACAAACCACCCCCCACACATACCACATATCACACACACCACACACCACACACACTGTGCACCACACACAACCACACCACACACACTCCACACATACCACACACTGTACACCACACATATACATACCACATACACCACATACACACACCATACACCACACACACCCCACACACACACCACACACACTGTACACCACACATACACACACACACCACACCACACACATAGCAGAGACACCGTACACCACACCCCAAACACACCACACACACACCACACACCGCACACATACCACACACCACACACACCACCACACACATACCACACACCACACACACCACCACACCACACCCCAAACACACCACACACACACCACACACCGCACACATACCACACACCACACACACCACCACACACATACCACACACCACACACACCACCATACACACACCACACACCGCGCACACCAACACACACACACACACACACACAGGGAGCAAGACTGTCACTGAAGAGTCTAGCATCCAGTTCTGGGACCTAGAGCTTTGGGAATAACCCTCCCCAAACTCCAAGGCTTTCTGGTCTTCCTTAAATTGTATATAAGTTTTTGTGCATTTTATTTTTAAAGAGGGACCATACCTTTTTTTTTTTTTTTTTTTTAGATTCTTAAAGGAATCCCTGATTCCCAAATGCTTAACCATATGCAGTGGGTGACTTGGCACCCACGTCCTTGATCTGCCTAGCTAGAGGCTGTTTTAACCCCAATGTGACAGGCAACAAAATTCACATAAATCATACAAGGGGGGCGACAGGAAGAAAACCCTTTCTTTGACAGTGTTTTCTGACCACCAATCAAGCTTGCTTGTTTTACATCGAATCTTAGGTGTTCAAACTCGAATTTGCAGACCTCCAGTCGGCTTCAGTCATCAGGGTTGAAAATTTCTGCAATGTGGTGGAGAAAGCATGACCTTGGAATCTGAAGAGTCTGCAGTCTGATCCTAACACCCCAGCCCCCAACCATGTGCTATTCTGTAACTTAACCTCTGTTGCTCCCCTTCTCCCTGGCAGCTCACCTGTCTGTAAAACAGGATAAAAATACCCACCTCACAGACGTACTGCAAACACTAAAGGAATTAGATACTTTAAATGTCTAGGCCGGTCGCGGTGGCTCATGCCTGTAATTCCAGCACTTCAGGAGGCTGAGGCGGGTAGATCACCTGAGGTCAGGAGTTCAAAACCACCCTGGCCAACATCGTGAAACCCTATCTCTACTAAAAATACAAAATTAGCTGGGCGTGGTGGCACATGCCTGTAATCCCAGCTACTCAGGAGGCTGAGGCAGGAGAATCACCTCAACCAGGAGGCAGAAGTTGCAGTGAGTCGAGATCGTGCCATTGCACTCCAGCCTGGGCGACAGAGTGAGACTCTGTCTCAAAAAAGAAAAAAAAAAAAAAGTCTGGAACAGCACATGGTAGGTGCTTACACTGCCTTGCACATAGTAGGTATTCAGCAGACATTTGTTCAGGTTTCTCTATCCCCACCCAGTCCCCTTTGTTTTTTCATATATGTGGCACCCAGAATGAATACTTTGTAATTCAATCCCAAGTTTGTTTTCCTTCCCTTGTTTTTTCTGGGGGGGAAAAAAAAAACACCTCAGGATTGATAAAAGCAAAGAGTTGCTCAACGGCAAATCTGTCACATACCTCTTTATTTCTCTGGCTTTTGGATAAAGCAAGAAGAGGCAACTACAGAAAAAAAAAATGCAGAATGAAACCGCAGGGAAAAAAGCCACCCTGGTGTTTCGTGAGTTGTCGTTGTGTGAGGTTTGGCTAATTCAACAAGGCCCCTTTGTTTTTGTTTTTAAACGATCGTATTAAAGCATATTTATTCAAAGGAGCACAATCCCACTCAGAGACCCAATTAGCTTGGGAGGTTTATTCAATTTTGTGGCTCAACCATCTTACAAGTTTCTCTTTTGGAAGTGACTTTGAAGCCAGCCTGTGAGTTAAGCACTACCATTAACAGTCACACTTCAAACTCACTTGTGTGCAGACTTGGATGGTGTAGTAATCCCTTCAGTTTCACTTTGGACACAACTTTACAGAGCACTGCCTTGGCACCTTGCCTCTAACCAGGTGCCGGAGACACAGCCATGAACAAAACAGAGGTGCAGTCCTGCCCTCACGGAGCTTGCAGCCTGGTGGAGGAGACACAGTGCAAGGACTCACACCAGCATATGCTAAGGTTTGTGATAGAGGAGGTACAAACCCATGTGGTGCATAGGAGGGGGGCACCCTGTCAGGATAGAGAGAGTCAGGGAAGGCTTCCTGGGGGAAGGGACATCTAATGTAAGGCCTAGAGGTTGAGTAGGAGTTAGCTAAATCCTGTAATTCGTGGACCTCTCATTAAGAAGGAGAGTAAAGAGATGTTCAGCAGGCATTTGGATAACAGGGTCTGAGCTCAGATGAGTGAGAGCTGGGCTGAAGGCAGTGAGTTGGGCATTGTATTAGTCCGTTTTCACACTGCTATAAAGAGCTTCCCAAAACTGGGTAATTTATAAAGGAAAGAGGTTTAATTGACTCACAGTTCTGCACGGCTGGGGAGGCCTCAGGAAACCTACGATCATGGCAAAAGGCAAAGGGGAAGCAAGAACTTTCTTCACATGGCAATAGGAGAGGGAAGAGTGAGTGTAGGAGGAACTTGCCAAATACTTGTGAAACCATCAAATCTCATAAGAACTCACTTACCATGAGAACAGAATGGAGGAAACCGCCCCCATGATCCAATCACTTCTCACCAGGATCCACCCTCAATACCTGAAGATTATAATTCAAGATGAGATTCGGGTGGGGACACAAAGCCAAACCATATCAAACGTCTAAGTATAGAATAAACTAGGAAAATGTCTCTGGGAAGGAAGCCTTTCCCAAGGGAGACTCACACCCTGGATCTTCCTAACCCATAGGGGCAGCCCTTACAGTCTGGAGGCAGGGGCTGCTCTCTCCAAGGCTGGTGTGCAGACTCTTGACCCAGAAAGCTGTTGCTGTTACTCAAATGCCTTCGTCCCCTATCCAGAGGGGATCTGGTTCTCCTAACCCATTCCACGTAGTGTCCCAGGAAGTGTATCCAAGAACTTTGAGGCCGGAGGACAGAGCCATTCTAAAGTGGGCCACAGCCTTGGCATCAGCCCAGGGAGCCCCAGTGAGAATCAGGGTCACCTGCAGATACCTGCACAGTCTTCTCTGCACCAAGCTGCACTTTCTGGGGTTTCAGGTCCATGACGTGATGCTATCTTCTGGGTCACAGGCAAGCAAACACCATGAAGTCAGAGGTACACACAGCTTTCAGGCCTGAGTGGAGGGAAGTACATGCCCTTGCTATAACAACAGGCACTGAGCAGAGTCAGCTCTGACCAGGTTCTAGAAACCTTTGCAATCTTGAGATCCTATTCCCACTCTTTAACAGGAAGCATCCTTTGTAAAGAGCTTTTGTCTTGGGGGGAAAGAGGAACAGCCCTACGCACACCTTCCGACATTCCAAGGTTGGAGAATTAGCCTCCCACAGCTGCTGTTGCAGGAAGCCATATCCGTGTGTAAACAAAGGCAGTGAGACCCCTTTCCTTAGGGGGAAACCAGCTTCAAGAGACACAGAATTGAAGTGAAGGCAGGTGGAAAATACCGGCCCAGCATGGGAAGGGAAAGGAAATGCTTTGCTGAGCCATTTCTAGCAAATATGCTACAATCCTAATAAATATGTATTTTAAAAATCACTCTGTGATCAAAATAGGAGAACTCTTAATGTAATTTGTTTTTTAACAAGAGGAGAAGGAGCTCTGCGATTAGATCACACTTTGGGACTTCGCTTTTTAAAAGTTAGCCATGAGTGCATGTTGCTAGTAAATCAGGACCCCCCACCAGGGACACTAAGTCATTTCGCATTAGCACCTATTCAGGACATTCCCAGCTCTCCAGGCCAGTCTTTGACCAGGGATCACAGCTTCGATTTTGCGCTCTCTTTTGCCTTGGTCCCCTGCTTGAAGCTGTGCAGAGCCCAACATGACGTCCTTGTGCATGGTAACGACTTCTGAACTGCTTGGCTGGGGTGCTTTTCCAAAATGGAATCAGGGGATCTCCGACCCCACAGCCTGCTGAGCGCTGCTGTCCTCTGCTCAAGAGTTCATCAGATCCTCCCTTCAAAATTGGGCCACCACTTTCCATGTCTATCTAATGAGATGCTGTGCCACAGAGAAGAAATTTCAACAAGTGTATTGCAAAAGACGCTGGGAAAAGAAAAGTGTTTTGGAGCTCTCTCTCTCTGTGAGCCACCTGTCTGAATTCAAAACTTTTCGAGCAAGTATTTGTTTTTCTAGAGTATCCAAGTTTATCAGTTAGAAAATCCAGGCCACCCTGTCTCCGACAGTTGAGAATTTGTTTGCCTCCTGCAGCAAGAGCTTGCAAAGGGAATTACTGGTGTAGCTGTTTGAGGAGTGCACCAGGGACCCAGATCCTCTGTCTTCCTGTTCCTTGGGTCCTGAGTGTGACAAAACAGCCATCACTGTCACGAGACAGCTACAACAATTTCTCCTCTTTCTCCTCTTTCAGGAGGAGAAAGATGGAAGATAACAAGAATCCTTTTCCACAGGAGCTTTGTTTCCCAACATTTTATTTTGCAAATGTTGTATAGATACAGCAAAGTTGAAAGTATTTTACAGGAAAGATTTTTTTTTTTTTTTTTTTTTTTTTTTTACCCAAGGCCAAGGTTCTACTATTAGCATTTTACCATTCTTGCTTTATCGCCTATCTATCCATATCTAAGAGTTTGATCAGTCTATGCAGTTGAACAAAACCTATTCTGTCTACTCTACAGGCCATTACATTGGTAATTATGAATAACATAAGGCAGGAACGGGGCACTGTGCAGTAAGAAATGATAGCCTAAGGGAGAAAGGAAATACTAGTACATACGTATAGCCGTATGGGGTCATTAGTGAAGGGGTAAAAGCTCTACACACACAACTGCCCATGGACATCCCTGTACTATGGCACATACCTATAAGTGGTGATTACAGTGATCACACTGACCTCTTAAAAGGTCTAAATTGGCTGGGTGTAGTGGCTCATGCCTGTAATCCCAGCACTTTGGGAGGCCGAGGGAGGTGGATCACAAGGTCAGAAGATCAAGACCATCCTGGCCAACACGGTGAAACGGTGTCTCTACTAAAATACAAAAAATTAGCCAGGCATGGCGACACGCACCTATAGTCCCAGATACTCAGTAGGCTGAGGCAGGGGAATTACTTGAACCTGGGAGGCAGAGGTTGCAGTGAGCTGAGATCGCGCCACTGCACTCCAGCCTGGCGACAGAGCAAGACTCTGTCTCAAAAAAAAAAATCTAAGTTATGTTCAGTTAAATCTGGTTAAGAGGGCAGAGGCATTTTTAACTCATTTTAGAAATATTTTCATAAAATGGTTTAATATTTTAAGTGCTATTACATTTAAGCTCCCTGGATAACTCACTTATATGTTTTATTTCATGTCCCAATGATGTGGGGTAAGCCACATTGTGTTGAATGCATCCTACACACAGGATTATAAATGCACTTACTTGTTTACTCATCAAGTAGAGAGCAGAGAGCTTCCTCTATGCAGAGTGCTGTGAGTTCATGAGAGGCACAGAAAAGGTGATGGAGAATTATAGGAGGGATAGACACCCAACTTGAATATCAAGACAGAAATGGTCCTTCTTCCACACCTGCAAAGGCTGCAGCACATCTGATGTGCAGTGATGGGAGGAGGCTCTCCTGGAAGAAACGGGCAGTAGGAGTAGGAAAGTGTAGAAGGGACAGCTAGAGGACAGTGGGGTTTGGAATGGACAGAGGAAAGGTGATAAGGGGTGGGTTATGGCTGATGTAGAAAGATAGGTGGATGTTCTTGGCAATAAAGAATTTTGACTTTTACTTGTAGACTATGATACATGATTGAAGGTGTGATGGGACCAGAGCCGTGCCTTTAGAAGTATGTTCTGCAAATAATATGTAGGCTGCATTGCCATCAGGAGAGGTTGGAGACAGCAAGACCCAGGAAGAGGTCAACTGAAATAGTTCAGTTAAGAAATAATGAAAGGTCCCAAGCAAAGACTTGTACACGAACATTCATAACTGCTTTAGTCGCAATGGCCCCAAACTGCAAACAACCAAATGTCCTACAACAGAATAATGGATAAACAAATGGTGTTACATCCACACAGTGGAATACTCCTCAGTAATATACAGGAATTAACTCCTGGTACATGTAACAACATGTATGAATCACAAAATCTTTGTGTTGAGTGAAAGAATCCAGACTCCCCACAAAAGAGCATATATTGTATGATTTCATTTACACAAAATTATAGAAAATGCAAACTAACCTACAGTGATAAAAAGCAAATCAGGGATTGCCTGGGGCATTGGAGGGAGGGACAGACTGCAAACAAGGCAAAAATAATCTTTTGGGGGTGATGGAAATATTTTGTATCTCAATTGTGGTGAAGGTTTTATAGGTGTAGACTTTCATCACAACTAATCGAATTGCACATTTTAAATGGATGCAGCTTAATGTACATGCATCACACCCCAGTAACGTTTATTTTAAAAACTAAGAGAGACTTCTGGATAAAGATGATAGATGGAAATTACCTACCTCCATTCCTCCTATCAAATAATAGTAAAACCATTGTTTTTAAAAGGCATGTGTCTCCAAGGGCAGTAAAATGTAAAAGGAGTCATTCGCAGCAAAATTAATAGATGAAGAAAAGAACAGAGCAGATTTGAGATGACCTAATCCTGACAGAACAGGGAGAAAATCAAGGCTGACCCATCACCCAGGGCAGATGGAATCAGTGTAGGTGAGGTGAGGGCAGCTAAAATAAGGAAGACTGAAAATCTCCTAAGCACTTTGCATTCTAAGCACTGACATCCTTCCCTACCCATCTCTGGAGAAGACAAAAGGGAGTGTCTATGGACTGAGGGACAATAGTCATGGTTGAGGGAGGGGAAAATATCCCAAAACCAGAGGTGTCAAGAGAATGTCTACCTGTAAGAAGTTTAGAGCCTACCTGTTTATTTATTTAGGTCCCAGAAAGCTGGTAACCAGGCTCCATCTTCCAAGGAGAGACCAGTAGAGTCTTTGGATAGTTTGATCAGTCTGAAAGGGACAACGTGAAATACTGTCATTAATGTTTTCCCAACTCACAGCCTAGTTAAGTCATCTTACGAAAGAGAAAGCCAAGTACTTCAGTTCCCCTCCTGTTTCCAGAGCTTTACATTAGCATTTCATCCCTCCACTCTTAAATATGATGAGACAACCAAGCATTATAACGTAAAACATAGAAAAAACACCAAATGAACATTAAAAAGCAATCTGGTGGAAAAATATAGTATGTTAATTAGAAATAAACCTCTAAGGGATAAGATATTACAATCATGAAACAAGAACAGATTACTATAAAAAAGGAATATTTTTATTTATAGAATAGCTCAAAGAATTTAAAATATAGCAGAAATGCAACCCTCAATTGAAAACTTGGAACATGGATTGAGAATATTCCCTAAGAAATAGAGCAAAAAAATTTAAGTGGTTCTAGAAAGAGAGGAGAATTTTTTTAAGAAGGGGAATATACCCATAAAATATTTAAAGAAAGCTTTCCATAATTGAAAGGCATTAGATGGTAAATTAAAAGGGCCCACTGAGTACTCAGGACAATGAATGAAAAAGATCTTGTAAAAGTGCATCAACACAAGCTTTCAGAACATGGCAGACAAAGAGAAGAAATTAACAGTTTCCAGAGGAAAGAGATAAAAACCAACAACACATCACACACAGAGAATCAGGAGTCACAACGTCTTCAGATTTCTCAGTAGCAATATGAAACCTAGAAAGTAGCAGAGTAAGACTCGAAATTTAGAAGAAAAATTAATTCCAACCTAGAATTTTAAACTCAGGCTGTCAAACAATTAAAGGGTGGATTAAGGCATTTTCAGACTAGATTGGGCATGTTCAGGGTGGTATGGCCATAGATGGATAAGGCATTTTCAATCATGTAAGTGCCAAAAAAAAACCTTCTTCTCTATATTCTTTCTTGGGAAGCTCTGGAAGAAGTGCCTCACCAAAACAAGAGATTGAGTAGGTGGAAGGTGTGGGGTACAGGTGATAAGAGCTCAACATGAGAGGGAGGGAAAGGAAATTTCTAGACGATGATGTAGAGAGACCCCAGAATGATACTTCTGGTCTGTGATTAACAGCTGTTTTTCCTATTAGGACTTGTAGCCACATGGCATCCCTTGTTCATTGAAAGATTTTTTTAAAACATAAAAAATAACCTTAACCACTAAGATAGTTTTTAAGCATTATTTTGTGCAAAAGAACTACCCATAGGCTTACTAAAAATACAGATTCTATTGCTTCCCATTCCAAGAGATTCTGTTTCAGGAGGTCTGGGTGGGACCCCAGGAAAATGCATTTTGATCAATTATCTTGGGTGATTCAATGCAGGTGGGTCATAGACCATGTCTGCAAAACATTAGCCTAAACAACAGTACCAATAGCTGAGTAATGTAAGCTCAGCTGTCATTTTTATGATCTGCCAATATTTACTTTTTAAAATTGAGATATAATTCATAAAATTCATCATCTTAAAAGTGTGCAGTTCAGTGATTCTTAGTATATTCACAGAGTTGTCTAACCATCACCACTGTCCAGAAGATTTCCATCCCCACTGAAAAAAAAAAAAAAAAAAAAAAAATCTCAGATTTCCATCCCCCCTAAAAAAAAAAAAAAAAAAAAACAGCCCTGTACTCATTAGTAATTAACTCCCCATACCTGCCTCCTCTTCCTCTGGACATTACTAATTTACTTTCTGTCTCTACGCAATTGCCTACTCCGGACTGTATAAATGGAATCATTACAACATGTGGCCTTTTGTATCAAGCCTCTTTAACTTAGCATAAGGTTCATCAATGTTGTCACATACATAAGCACTTAGTTTGTTTTTATATCTGAATAGTATTCCATTGTATGAATATACTGCACTTTGTTTATCCATTTAGCAGTTGACAGACATTTCAGTTGTTTCCATCTTTTGTCTGTTGCAAATAATACTACAGTGCATGTTTATGCACAAGCTTTTGGGTCAATACCTGTTTTCAGTTCTTTTGGTATCTACCCAGGATTGGAATTACTGGGTCATATGGTAACTCTTTAACTTTTTGAGGAACTACCAAACTGTTTTCCACAGTGGCTGCACCATTTTATGGTCCCACTAGCAATGTATGAGGGTTCTAGTATCTTCACATCTTCACCAACATCTGTTATTGTCCATTATTATTATTATTATTATTAATCATAGTCATTCAAGTGAGTGTGACCTGGTGCCTCATTGTGGTTTTGATTTACATTTCCCTAATAACTTGCCAGGATTTAGTCCTGCATACTCCTCATTCCCCCTGACTCCTATTTTTTGTCTGTACTATATATATATGGTCAGATCATGTAGCTAGTACATATTACAAATGTCCTTTGCTCTTTATTCTCAGTTCCACACATCTCCATGTATAGAATGCTCACTACCAGTCTTGACCATGTCTGACACGGTCTCCATGGGAATGGAGAGATCACATCAACGTCTCTTCAGTCTGAAGTTCATTCTTTACTAGATTCCTTAGGAAGACTTCATGGAATAATTTTCCCTGAGTATTTGCATGATAATAATAGTTCATGTATGAACTATTTTTGTATCTGAAGATCAGTTTTGATAAATTAAAATCCTTAGCTCACATTTTCTTGAGTATCTTAAATATGCCACTCTGTTACTCTATTTTCTTATGACCCAAAGCATTGCCTTGAAAAGTCTGACGATAACTAATTTTCTTTCCTCTTTAAGTTACAGGCTTTTTGCTAGAGATTGCTTTTTTTCTTTACCAGCAATTTTACTAGTTTACTACAATTTGTCTTGGTGTTGGACAAGACCCAGTAATTACATTACAGTATGGTTTTGTGTTCGTTATTCTGGGTAACACTCTCAGGTACATAGCATGCTTTTTCAACATGCGTTTTCAAATCATTTTCTTTCTGATTTTTGAAAACATTGCTTGAAGCAGGGTTTTTAGTAGTTGCTCTGTTTCCTTGCATTAGATTTCCTCTTCGATACTTCTGTTATCTATATTTTGTCTTCTTTTTTAATTTTGAAATTTTTCTCCTTTTCCTTCCCTATTTCTCTTAAAATATTATTTGCCATTTATTTCCTGTCTGTTCCTTCTGGATTACTTTTCTTCTAAAATTATTTTTCGTTGTAGTTTTTTCTCGAATTCTGCTGCCTCATTCCTGAGTTTTTCTAATTCTGATTTATGATGTTCTTTCACAGCCCATGTCATTTTCTAATGTCTTTTAGCCTGTTTTGAAGTGGTGCATTACAATTTCTGTGAGCTTTACATTTTTTTCACTGCCTGTAGGAATGTCATTTGGCTCCTTATTCTCTTTTAACTTTATATGGCATGTTTTTGTTGTTATCTACATGTGACTTTAGTTTTCCTAAACTTTTAGAGGGAAGATGGCTCAATGAGCTTTTCTAACTTCACAGAGTTCTGAACATTCTCTCTCTCTCTCTTTCTCTTTCTCTGTGTGTGTGCATGTGAGTGAATAAATATGCTGGCTTGCTTTCTGTGAATTTCTGGCTGTTTCCCTCTGTAACGGTACCCAGGACCTTCCCTTTCCTTCTTCATTTTGATTTCATTCTCAGTTTTCAGGACTCTGTTTTGAGAGTTCACAGTGGCCCGGCTGCTCCACCCCCTAAAGGTTTTATTGCAGGTGTCTTGCACCCACCCTTTCAGCTTTACCTGTTCCCAAACTGTGTTGCTCTGCTTCCCCGTGCATACTTGGTGTCTATTCTGAAGTTATCCTGCTCTCCAGCACATACCTAGTGGCTATTTGGAAGTTTTCTCTCATCTCCCAGATGCCCTGTTGCTTACCTCTGCTTTCTCCTGAAGAGATGCCAATTCTAGGCAGGTCTCGAAGTTGTTAAAGGGTTTTCCCCAACCACTTGAATGTTGGAGTTTGTGGTTTGGATGTCTAGTTGCTGTGACTTTATTTTTTCTTTAATGTGGAGATTTGGAGAAATCTAAGAACTATGTTGCCATCATCATCACAATCTTCTGGAGTTCACTAGTTTAATGAGGAAGCAAATAGCCTAGGGGGGAGGAAAAGGGTAAAATAGGATAGGCACAATTAACAGATTTGTGGATTTTTTGTATATACCAGCAAATTTAAAACAACAGTCCTCTTGCAAAATTTTTTAAGTGAAGAATTAGTGAGGTTTTATACAAATCTGTATATTTGGTTTCTCCTTAAAACAGAAGACCTGGTAATACTGGGCCTCTGTACCTGGCCTAGCAATTCCTACTCCACCCATGTTCTCATTTATGTGATTTATGTTATCCGTCTGTTCCCTGAAGGCTTTGGGGTTAGAACCTCCAGTCTAGAGTAAAAGCCACCATGCACATGTGATTCAAAGCTCAAGAACTATGAATGACACACAAATTCTAAACAGATGTATTAGCTCATCATAATTTTACATTACTCAATTAATTTTACCAAATATATATATATAAGCTTATTTTCTAATAAAGTATGATTAGAAAATAAGGTTGGTTTGCCTATATAAAAAATAAATGAGTGCTACTGTCACACACAACATGAGTATATCTCACAAGCATAAGATGAACAAAAGAGGCTTGACACCAAAGGACCTCATACTTTAACATTTCATTGATATGAAGTGCAAGAACAGGCAAAACCCTCTAGGATCAGAATGGTGGTTACCTCTGGGTGGAGGTGGTGATTGACTGGGAAGAGATGTGAGAAATATCTTGATCCAGGAAGAGGTGGTTTCATGGGAATTATATATAAATTCATCAAGCTATGCACTTAAGATTGATTACTTTTACTGTATATATATTAAAACTCAATAAAAATTTTTGACTAAGTGTCATTTTAAAACCATGCTACAAATATGTACTATGTACATCAATTGGAGGTGGCACAAGAAGGCATCAGTAAGGAGTCTTCCCATGGCCACCACCACCACCAATTTGAAAATAGGTTAGTCTCAGAGGATTAAATTCCAATTCTGTGCCTAAAAGATGGGAGAACAGACAAGCAAAGTCACTTTAGAGAGGCCCAGAGGACACGAATCTGATGGAATGTATTGGCACGGAAAAAGGAAGAAGGCACCCATAAGAATGGTGGTGCTGGTGCCGGGTGGGTCGAGGGGCGAGGGGTCTGCTGAAGTTTAGAAAAGGGAGTCATCATGGCTAAAGAAAGCTGACTGTGATTTTGGGCCTCCTGTGTCATTTTCTTACAAGAGGAGACTGCTAATCCACGGATGCAAGAGTCCAGTTCCCTGGGGAGTTTTGTGTCTTCTTGTAAATTAATCAATTAGCATCTTGTTTACATAAATTGGGCTCTTGTAAGTAAAGTTAGCACAAGTCAGCTTCTCTGCGTAGGAATACCTCTGAAACGCTGGCAAGGCCGGGTGGCTGGATCTGCACAACTCGGGGTCAGACTCGGACTCTGGCAACTTCCCCAAAGTCTGGCCTTGCAGGAAAACCTCTTTGTGGCCAAATGGGGAGTCTTTGGGGTGGCCTCAGCCTGCACCATCGTGGCCCCTGGGCCCTGCCCGGGCAGTGGCAGCACTTCTGCCCTGCAATGGGGACATGGAACATGTGCGAGCATGCGGTGTGGGTGACTGGGACTCTCATGGCAAACAGCACATAAGTTGAAGGCTCTGTGAAGAAGCACTGACAGCTCTGGTCACTTCCCATCGGGCAGGAACCCCTAAATATTGATTTATTTGAAAACCTCAACTATAGTTCTCCTAAAATTCTCCAGATCAAAAACATGTTGTCCTTTCCTAACAAAATAGAATCATTTGAATGGGATTATTACAACAATGCACCAATTTCAAAGTTCTTATAAGCCACAAAATGAGGGGAATTTGTGTTTAGATATCTTTCAAAGCAATTAATTTTTAATTAAAAATTGAAATTGGAGGAAAAGCTCAGCTCTAACGGAAGGGCTCTATATCCATGCTCTGGGTAGTTTACTACAGTGACCAAGTTGATACAGTTTTTATATTTGCTAACTAGTATCACCTTATTCAAAAATTATTTTGCCGATGGATCTTCAACTGAATCACGCTTATAGTTACTCAGGAATTTTCTGGCATATGTCCTTTTAACTAGCTGATGATAAAAAATGATGATAATAATAGAAGTGATTTTTCACTAAGCTGTAACCATGACCTCCTAAAGTATCGCATGTCTGTATGGCACCAAAGGCCAATGAACCCTCACCCTTCTACAGAATCCAGCAGGGGGAGTTTGAGGCCAGGGGAACCTGGTCGTTCTGGGAATGAATGGGAAGCACCCTTGTATGGTCAGTGGTCAAGCTGCTGCCTTCCTAGGGATGGTTTTTCCACCTGGTGAAGCCTCTTTCAGAACCATGGTCCCCTTTAGAGCAGTGGTGGATCATAGCAGATGTAACAGTTCTAAGTAGAAGCTCTTTGACAATAGAGGGAAACAGGCTGTGACTCAATGACGCTGCTCAGAGTGGGTGACAGGTGTGTAGAAAGGCTGAGGGCCACAAGCAGTGCTCCCAATGGAGCAGGTTGCTGTGGGGATCTGCGGCAGGGTGGGCCCACATGCTGTACCTGTTCCCATTAGCAGCCCTGGGATCCACGAGCATGGACACTGTGTGGATTTGACAAATTCTACTCATTGTGCAAGTGCTTTGGTCAAGCTCTAAGTGTACCCTGCCTCCTTCTCCTCAGAGGACCTTTGCAGAGGCTGTTCCCTCTGCACAGAGCCCTCTTACACACTCTCTTGTTCTAGTTCACTTTCTCCCTTTCTAGAGAAGTCTCCCCAATCAGGTCACATTCACCATCTTACTCTCCCTCCTGAAACCACAAACTCCATTACAGCATTTATCCCAGGTAGACTTTTTATTTGTCTGGGTGATTCTTTGATGACATCTTTCTTTAGCACTACACTGTAAGCTACAAGAGGGAAGTGACTGCACAAGAAAAGACTTCTTCTTCTCCTTCTTCTTCTCCTTCTTCTCCTCCTTCTCCTTCTTCTTCTTCTTCTTCTTCTTCTTGGCTCACCATTCTATCCCCATGACTAGTACAGTCCCTGGCTAAGTGTGTCTTAAATGAATAAATAACTGAATAAATTTCTTCTCATTTTGTTGAGTCTAGACAACCAAATTCCTCTGGTTCAAACTTTCCTCCTTCTCCTAATTCATTCATCTACCTATTCTCTAAACCGGGCAACCACAGCGCTCAAATGCACATCTCATGTCTCCCATCCCTGTTGGCTGCACCAGAAGGGGCCTGTTGGTTTTCCGGGAGTTCATGTCCTAACTATGCTGCCGCTGTCAGCTGCCATTCTTTGCACTGGGTGAGGCCTCTATAATCCTATACCTCACTGGCCTCTCAGAAGATGGGGACTTGAACTTCCATGCAGATGTGTGGTTTGCCCAGGCCTTCTTTTTTCTCATTACCAGATGGCCCACTGGACACGCCAGGGGCCATTGTGTTACTAATGGTCTAGCAGAGCTTCAGGCCTTGGGTTTGCCATTTACCATGGGTTTGGTCTTAGGAAAGTTGTGTAACTTCTTTGCATGTAAGCTTCCTCATGTGCAAAATAAGGATAATAGCATTTGCTTCACAGAGTTGTAAAATTAAATAAGATAATGCATAAGAAGTACTTAGCATGGTGTTGGGCACATAGGAAAAAATGGTGGTTCTATCTCAGTACATGTGAGGATCTGCAAAGACTATGAAACTGACACCTGTCACACTGGACCTCACACCCTGGCAGGTATCACGATCACGAAGTTGGTCCACCCTTGCCTGTAGGGTGTCAATTACTCCACAAGCCAGGTATCTGGTTGGGTACAGCTGAGGCTGGAGTTCCTTCCTGTTAAAGGGCCCTGAGCAACATATATCATACTCTTCTTATCCAGATGAAATTGCACTTAGAGCACCAAAGGCAGCCTGAAAGAACACAAATCTGAAAGGCGCAACCAAAGGCAGTGTTTCTCTAGCTGTACAGGAACAGTATTAGAGGTGGAGGTGGTGATAACCGCAACAATAAAGTCATAATAATAATTATTATACTTAACTGCAATTGACCACGTTTTATTGCTGAATTGTTACAGCAGCCCTGACCAAGTAGTTATTATTGCCCTCACTTACAGAAAAATGACCCAAAAAAGTTACCCAAGATCAGACTAGTGAGCAGAACCAGTATAGAAACCTAGCTATCTGCGTATTCCATCCTCCAGGTGGCACAACACTGCCATCTCCTTTATCTTAAATGTGTGTGGGAGTGAGAAAGCTAACGTTATGTGTGGCTTTAAATTTTTGAGCCCCAGTCCATGGAACTAACCCATCTACTTTCCTTCAATCTCTTCCTAAACAGGTCCCCTGAGCCACTGGTGGCTGGGTGAGGCCTCCATAATCCTATACCTCACTGGCCTCTTAGTGATCTGGACTTGAACTTCCGTGCAGACGTGTGGTTTGCCCAGGCCTTCTTTTCTCTCATTACCCTAGGAAATCCACTGGTATTTAAAAAGATAGGCTGTGTGCATGGTGCAGGACAGGCTAGCAGTAACTCTCTTCATCCTGATTTCCCACCCTCTTGCTGGGTACCTCAGTGTCCTCTTGTTCTAAAAGTCATTAGGTATGTTTAAAATCCGAATGCAATGTATATCTGAACAAAGATGCTTATTCGCTCCTACCAGTTACTTTTCATTTTTATGTGTCAGAAAGCGTTTCTTGCATAAACAGGTGTTATTTCCATGTATTTAAGCTCAGGTTCTTTGGATATCATGATTTTAGCTACCTGCAAAGCTTACCAGGGTTAGAACTCCATTCTACCACCTCTGACAACCACTCTTTGCCGATAGAGAAACTTGCTTCAGGACAAGATCTAGCTTGGAGCAGGTGGTAGCAGAGGACAGAGATTACTCAAACTAGATCACTGTAAAGATCCCAGGCCCTACGTTTTACAATGTTCAGAGATTATTATGTCCACAGTGTTATTATTTTTGGCACTAGGAAACATGAGGACCAGTGATGAAATATTTGGGGAAGAGATTTTAGTCAACTGTCACTATCTTCGGCATCCACCCAAGAGTGATCTAACCTTTGCAAAGCCTTCACTGATTTGGGAACCTCAAATGCTTTTTCATTGTTAGGTTGCACCGTTAATTCTCTGTTGCATTACCTTTCCTGTTTAAAAAAATAAATTAAAACAATCTAAAAAGCCAGATAATGTTTAATGGAAAAGGGCAGCGATGGGCTAATGGTTGCCTAGCAACCAGTAGACATTGTTTTGCTGCTTCACTCTAGAGAAGCCAAAATGGCGGCTGTAATCCTTCTCTGGCCCCCTGGACAGTGTACGTGTGAGTGACAGTTCCCTCTGGGCCCATATC